AGAATAAGGAGAGGGGGAACAAGTTCCTGAAAATTGCATACATCAACATAGATGGAGTGAGATCAAAGATACTGGAGTTAAGAGATGTAATATAGCTGCAGACACCAGACATTGTTGCACTCAGTGAGACAAAACTTGAAGAGGATATTTTAAATGAGGTCATATTCCCAAATGGCTACTCAGTCTAGAGATGGGACAGAAAAAATATGAAAGGCTGTGGCATGGCTGTGCTGGTGAAAGAACACCTAAAGGTAAATGAAATAATGATTGCCAATCCACGAGAAGTAAACATAATAACACTAGAGATCTGCAATCTGGATGATAAACTAACGATCATAAATGCATATAGTCCACTGCCATGCAACACATGGTCAAAGGAAGAGCTGGATAATAAACGAGATGGTCTTATAACAATAATGAGTGAGATTATAGCGAGATCTGATAAAGATGGATCACGTTTGTTGGTAGTCGGCGACATCAACTTGAAATCCATAAACTGGGAAGCATATGAAGCTAGAACAGAGGATACTTGGACTTGTACATTCGCAATCCTCATCCTGGACACATTCATGTTTCAACATGTTAAACAAGCTATGAGGATAAGGGAAGGGGATGTTCCCTCCATGCTGGATTTGATATTTATCAGGAAAAAGGGAGAGATATTTGACATTCAGTACCTCCCTCCCTTAGGAAAAAGTGACCATGTCTTTTTGGGAATAAAGTATGCAATGCGTTATAATCTGGAAGAAAATGTGGTTGAAGCAGTTGAAAAGTCTGATTTACGGAGAGGTCATTATGGGGAACTCAGACATTTCTTTAAGGAATTTGACTGGAAAGACTTGCTGTTAGGACATGAAGTAAACGAGATGTATGTCAAGTTTTGTGAAATATATGATAAAGGCACAAAAAAATTTATACCAAATCTGAGATGCATAATTAGGAAAAAGGATTGATTCGATAGAAATTGCGAGAGGGCAAGAGACCAAAAGACACAAAAATGCAATCAATATAGCAAGAGGCCAAACTCCCAAACATACCAGCAATACAAAGATGCAAGAAACAACTACGCGGCAGTGAGGAGAGAGGCAGAAAGAAATTTTGAAAAAGGGATTGCGGACAAATGTAAAACTGAACCAGGTCTACCTATAAATTCATAACAACAAATTGCAGGTAAAGGATAATATTCAGAGGTTGAAAATAGGAAACAGATTCACGGAAAATGAAAAGGAAATGTGTGAAACATTAAAAGAAAAGTTTCAAAGTGTGTTTGTACAAAATAAAATCTTCAGGGAACCAGACACGATAAGAATTCCAGAGAACAACATAGAGCACATAGAGGTGTCTAGAGACAAAGTGGAAGAAATGCTCAAGCAGCTAAGTAAGAACAAAGCAGTTGGTCCAGATGGAGTTTCACCATGGGTTCTGAGAGAATGTGCACCTGAGCTCAGCATTCCACTTCAACTGATTTTTCAGGCATCCCTGTGTACAGAAGTTGTAGCTGATGAGGGGAAAAGCCTTTTTGCCTTTTTGTAAGGCTAACATAGTTCCAATCTACAAAAGTGGCAGCAGGGAAGACCCCATCAATAGACCTGAATCATTGACAAGTGTAATAGTCAAAATATTGTAAAAAATAATTAAAACTAAATGGGTAGAATACCTGGAGAAAAACGATATAATATCAGACAGACAGTATGGTTTTCGATCAGGAAGATCCTGTGTAACGAATTTACTCAGTTTCTATGATCAAGCCACAGAGATTTTACAAGAAAGAGATGGTTGGGTTGACTGCATCTATCTGGACCTAAAAAAAGCTTTTGACAGAGTTCAACATAAGAGGTTGTTCTGGAAATTGGAACATATTGGAAGGATGACAGGTAAGCTTCTAGCATAGATGAAAAATTTCCTGATAGAAAAATGAGGGCAGTGATCAGAGGCAATGTATCGGATTGGAGGAATATCACAAGTGGAGTACCACAGGGTTCAGTTATTGCTACGGAAATGTTCATTGTCTACATAAACGATCTAACAGATGAAATAAAGAATTATATGAACATGTTTACTGATGATGCTAAGATAATAGGGAAAATAAGAAACCCAGATGATTGTCATGCCCTTCAAAAAGACCTGGGCAAAATAAGTATATGGAGCATCACTTGGCAGATGGAATTTAATGTGAATAAATGCCATGTTATGGAATGAGGAATTGGAGAACATAGACCCCACACAATCTATACTATACATTATGTGAGAAATCTTTAAAGAATTCTGACAAAGAAAGGGATCTAGGGGTGGTTCTAGATAGAAAGCTATCACCTGAGGACCACATAAAGAACGTTGTGCAAAGAGCCTATGCCACACTTTCTAACTTCAGAATTGTTTTTAAATACATGGATCGAGAAATACTAAAGAAATTGTTCACGACTTTTGTTAGACCAAAGCTGGAATATGAAGCGGTTGTGTGGTGCCATATCTTAAGAAGCACATCAACAAACTGGAAAGGTGCGAAGACATGCCACGTAAGTGGCTGCCAGATCTGAAGGACAAGAGCTACGAGGAGAGGTTTGAGGCATTAAATATGCAAAAACTAGATGATAGAAGAAAAAGATGCGATATGATCACTACATACAAAGTAGTAACAGGAATCGATAAAATTGATTGGGAAGAATTCCTGAGACCCGGAACTTCAAGAACAAGAGGTCACAGATTTAAATTAATCAAACAAAGCTGCCGGAGAAATATAAGAAAATTAAATTTTGTCTTCGGAGTGAAAGATGGTTAGAACAAGTTAGGTGAGAAGGTGGTGGAGGCCAAAACCGTCAGTAATTTGAAAGCGTTATATGACAAAGAGTGCTGGGGAGACGGGACACCACGAGCGTAGCTCTCATCCTGTAACTACACTTAGGTAATTACAGATGACCTCTTGGAGATGTGTGACAGATTTGCCTTAAATCAGCAAGTAGTAGAACAACCTGGAAAGAAAACACCTTAGATCTTATTTAAAAAAAATGACGTGCTGAATAGGGACATAATGATTACAAATGCACATGTTGGTCAGATGATAAGCTAATTGAAGTTTAGACATGCCTGGGCAATAGCCAGTACCAGGCAATAGTCAAATCCAAGAAGAGAATTTAGCAAATTCAATTACAATAACAAACAGATTAACTGTGTACAAATAAACCAAGCCTTCACAGAAATATGCTGGGAAAGACAGCTAGATAATGCAAACCTAAACCAGTACCTTGAGAAAATAAGCACATGAGCACTAGAAATATGTGTAAGTCACATACCACTAAGGAGAAAGAGAAAAAATGCAAACTGGAGCAAGAATGGTGCTAGGAAACCTTCTATAGGTGATACAAATTGCAGAACCCCATAAACCCCCCCACTCTTGAACGACAAACAAGGATATGTAGAGACACAAACGATTAAGCTAAAGTTGCAAGAAGCCTATAAAATCAAGGAGAGGCAAAGAGAGCAAAAGGCCATAAATGAAACATAGAAGTATCTAAAATATTTTTCTCCTATGCAAAATCTAGAAAAAACTACATTCTGCATTAGGCCTTTGTGCAAGACTGATGGAACCTTCACAGATGACAGCAAAGAAATTAGTGAAATCTTGACGTTACAGTATGATTTTGTTTTCAATAAACCCCTGAACACACTGCAGGTAAGTGTTCCAAACTAATATTTTATGAATGTGACACCACCATCGAACCATACTTCAGAAGTTACCCTAAGCCCACTCGACTTTGAAGTAGCCATACACAGCATGCCCCATGAACTCACCACCAGGCTCGGACTCTTGGAATTCTATATTTATCAAGAATTGTAAAAAGCCACTATCACAGGCTCTAGACATCTTTTGGAGACGGAGACTGAGCCTTGATATTGGTGTTATCTCTGACATGATTAAAACAGGCAGATATTGTGCCATTTCACAAAGGATGGGGAGGTAGTCATAACATGACATTTATACACATTGAATTAATTCCATCTGCCACATATCACTCCAAGCACTAATTTTATCTAGATTAATTTGAAGGGCATGACAATCGTCTGCATCTCCTGTCTTCCCTAGTAGCTTAGCATCAGCAGAAAACATGTTCATATAATTCCATATTCCTTCTGGTAGATTGTTTATATAGACAACGAACATTACTGCTGCAAGAACTGAACCCTGTGGTTCTCCGCTAATAACACTCCTCCAATCGGATACATTGTCTCTGATTACCGCCCTCATCTGTCTGTTAGAAAATTGTTCATCCATGTCAGAAGTCTCCCTGTCACTCCTCCAGCATGTTCCATTTTCAGAACAGCTTCTTGTGTGCGACTCTGTCAAAAGTCTTGTTTAGGTCCAGTTAGTAGTCAACCCAACCAACTCTTTCCTGTAGTATCTCTGTGGCTCTATCAAAAGAACTATAAAGATAGTGTATAAATAGTGCAGTATCTTTAGTGACTGAAATGTATATACAAAATATGGACTTGTATAAAAATTGTTTGATCCTATTGGTATATTAAAAGACATAATACAAATTACAACAACCTAGCTTAAGTTTTCTAGCCCTAAATAAGCAATCCTAGATCTAATACATGCAATTTTAGGCCTAATATAAAATATATACACTATACAATATATACTGAACTAGACCTATGAGAGGTTAGGTTAGATTGCTACCTTTTTTCTGAAGTTCCCTACAAAATACAGCAGCACAAAATTTGGACATTTTATGAAGAAGCACAACCATTTGGTAAAATTTTAAAATATGTAGAGTATATAAAAACCAATGTTTGGGAAAATATGAATTGTTTTGTCAAGAACAGACAAGTAGAAACTAAGAGAAATACAAAATGTGAAAATAACATTTAAAAGTAAAACGTGAGACAATGAAGCACCTATGAACCACCAGCTGGCACGGTCACTCTTGTGTATGACAGCTGGTCCCCCTCATCATATTTTACACAAAGGACAAAGAACAAACCCAACTTTTGTTTCCTACCTCAAAGTTGATGTGAGAGCCTAATATCCTAAAACGAACACCTGTAACAACGTGCTCTCCAGGTGCAGTAAGACGGTCCAAGTCTATGCTACGATCCTCGTATGATAATTTCTTGTAATGTGTGCCTTCTACATATGCAGTGCTGTCGGAAGTCAGATTATTATTATTATTCACAATAACACAGATTTGCAAAGAGAGAGAGAATGTGAACATGTAAAAATAAAGTAGTATTTTGCATTAACATAATGGTATAACTGAATTACAATTTCTAACCACCTCATTCTTATCTCTGGACATAACAATTTATTTTAGCATTAACCATTCATGTACTTCCTTCAATTATATTTTATATACTCCAGCCTATTCTAATAACACACAAGCATTATAGACACTGACTCTTGATTATCTTAAATTATTATTATCTATTACTGGTGTATACTGTACTTATCTGTATATGCCTCATTGTGCTTGCAAGGCTTTGATGAAAAGTCATGTCCTTATACTGTACAATAGTGCATTATTTTTCTACAATTATATTTATTAATAAATTGGAAAATTCCGTTTTCAGCTTCCTAATACTTTCTTTTTCTTCCACTGCTGGCAGTTTTTACCTATTCAGTTAGCGTGCACACATTATAGGGCAGGGAAGGGTCGCAAAGGTCAAATGTTTTCAGAAAAAGGTTTGCATAAAATCAAGTAGAGCTAGTGGCCGATTAATTAAAATTGTGCAGTAATATTGCTACTTATCTTGGCCACTTTTCCCATAACTTCAAAAGTTCCATATTGGTAAACTTTAGAGGTAGACAGTAATAAAGTGCTGTAGTTGCCTGGAATAGCAGACAACTGTTTTAACCATTCAGCTGCATGACACAACCAGGGATGTTCTTATTAATTATCAGTAAGCTGTACACAATGGTCAGGGATATTTTGAAGTACCGCATAACAATTAAAACTCCCGTGGGTATATAGTGCTCGCATCTGCTTCTTCAAGCCTCTACTAAACAGACGCCATCTTGGAATAAATCGTAGGCACCTTTCCTAAATGTGAGAGCCTCTAATACTGAGTAATTATCTAAGTGTAGTTACTGGATGAGAGCTATGCTCGTGTGTCCCATCATCCCAGCACTCTTTGTCATGTGAAGCTTTGAAACTACAGTACTCATGGTTTTAGCCTCCACCCTCTTCTTACTTAACTTGTTCCAACTGTCTACCATTCTGTTTGCAAAAGTGAATTTACTTATACAGTATATGTATTTCTTCGGCAGTTTTGTTTAATTATCTTAAATCTCTTGTTCTTGAAGTTCCAAGTCTCAGGAATTCTTCCCTATCACTAACATGTTGATACATAAATATCTCCAGGATAAGGTTTATGAATCTACCAGTCCAACAGTCCTATGTTCTTGCTTTGTAGGCCTACCAGTCTATGGATTTCAAGTTGAAATCACTGAGTACCAATAGTTGTGATTTGTCTTTATCTGCTTATAATCTCTCATGATTGTTATAAGGCCCTCTTGTTTGTCGTCCAGCTCCTCCTTTGTCCATTTGTTGCATGCTGGTGGACAGTAGGCCTTTATGATTATCAGTTTATCATCTTGATTACAAATCTCCTGTGCTATTATGTTAACTTCTTGTGGATTGGCAATCATCATTTCATTTACTTTTAGGTATTCATTCACCAGCATGGCAACACCTACACCTTTCCCAAGTTTACTGTCCTGTCTCCATGTTGAGTAGCCCCTTTGGAAATACGACCTCTTTAAAAATATCACCTTCAAATTTTGTCACAAGAAAGTTTGCAGAGAAGTTTAGTGGGGGAACGAAGTAGCACTGAACGAAGCTACTGGCAAACTGACTTCTCTGTTACATGTGTTTACATTTACGTGCCGAGCAAATGTTCGATTACCAAGTCTATTTATTCTGGAATAAAATGTTCGAGTGCCGAATTGTTTGAGTTCTGAGCCGTTTGAGTACCAAGCTTCTCTGTTCTGTAACTAATTATTTATTGATAATAGTACCATAGAAAATCTTGACTGTGATAAAGACTATGTACAAGGTTCAGATATCAGTGAACCTAATGCTGTTTACGATGTTCACAGCACAAGGCAGACATCCACAGCATACAGCTGCTGTTTGGTGCATCTACACATCATGAAATGGGACCTCATGTTTCTTTAGAAAACTAACTTGTGGAAAATTATTCATATTCAGGATTTAGTGACCAGGATTCTGATGATACTGTAGTAGGGTTGTGACTAAAGTTAGCATGCACATCAGGAGGCACTTTATTTTGTCAGGTGCTAATGACAACTGACTAGCGTGTGTCACTATGCTGGGCTTGGATTATGATATTACCACACATGTTAGAACTGCTTAGTGGTTCATAATGGTGCATAAAAATGTACAGTTATATATAACATGTGTACACAGTGTAATAACAGCAAAACCAGCATGCCTTATTGTTCTAAGAATATAATAATAATAATAATTACACAAATGTGCATACATATGACTGCACATTTCATATGTATGCACATTGAATGAAGAAGCATATGAATGCTTCTGATGATAAATCAGAAGCTGAAAGCAGAGAAGTTTTGTCTTGGGTCTTGCGTCCCAACTGTCCCTTGTGGATAGTTGCCCCTCGATAGAATCCTTGGTGAATCCAATTCCTTTAAAATCGTTTGCGCTTTTGATCTCATATTGGCATCCTAAGTGATAAAGTGCTTTTTGAATATCTAGCTGCATAGATGGTGCTACATAGTCTCCCTGACTTTGTGCCTTCTTTTGATAATTACTTAAACAAAAGACATTTATAAACAACAGCTGGTTTTTCAGTACATATGAAGTTACAAATTAAAGTAGATGAGAATAAGAAAAATAACAGCTTATAGCCCAGTTGAGAGTGTCGGTCTCACAAACGTGGGGTTCACGGTTTGAGACCCATACAGCTCAGGTGATTGGAACATACAATGCTTTATGATATATAGGAACAACAATACTGTATTTAGTAATGACAAATATGAGATAATTATAAGTACTGTAATCTTCATAATATCAACAAAACATAGGTTGACATATAGGGTGAGAAAAGGTTAGGAAATTTTCTTACATGAAGTTGATAAGGTGGTTCATAGTTTCTTGTTAAATTAAACTGGACAAGAAAAGTAAAATTTTTAATCTCATCTAGGAGGTCATTCAACAATTTAGGACCTTTGATTTGTAAGCATTTTTGCTTTGGATAAGTCACACCCTTGGAATATAAAAAAAAAAGCGTTGAATGTAATGAAACGCCATTTTCTGGGCTAGTCCTGGAGGCTCCCCGGAGCTATCCAGGCTGAATGGATATGTATATATTTCTGGCATCGGTCAATGCACGGAGTTCTTGCCTACCGGGGACCATAAGCCAGAACCTGGGGCCCCCTCTAGAAAGGTACGAGGAGCAATGGCCTATAGAGACTTCCCCTGTGGTTGGGAGCATTCTGTCTGCCATCGACCGGGACAGGCACCCAGAAAGGTAGGCACCCCAAAACAAACCCCCTACTCTGGTAAAATTATTGCGAACGAAGACTGAACAGGTGGACAGAACTCCCCAAACAAAAATTAGCAAACTAGCATGACATCATCATGTCGCCGTGCCGCTGTCTGCGCAACCCCCCCTCCCTGGAAATGGGAAGGGGGTGTGAGGGGATGGTTCACCAGCTCACTTACATTATGCCTGTGGAGGCCAGGGGCCAGATTCACGAAAGCACTTACGCAAATACTTACGAACGTGTACATCTTTCCTCAATCTTTGACGGCTTTGGTTACATTTATTAAACAGTTTACAAGCATGAAAACTTGCCAATCAACTGTTGTCATTGTTATAAACACTGCTAGTACTCTGCAACAGTCGATGGGAACGGGGAAATTCGTGCCAAGTGTTCAGGGGCAGCTTTCTCATAGAAATTCGTGGGAGGGGTGGGGGAGGTCTCCGTTTAAGCCTACTACCCACCACCTATGCCACCTACAGCCACCTACCACCGCTGTGAGCCAGCCACCTGCCGCAGGGTGCCTGATTGTATGGTAGGACGTTTGTATGAGTGTGTAAGCAGGCCAAATAAATGAATAAGTACCTATGTGTGTATTTCTGGTGATAATAGTCTCTAAAGTCTGAATTCGAAGACAGGTGTTCCGTCGCATTGTCACTAACAGCACCTATAGAGGTGAAGTGAAGTGTGGAGGAGGAGATAATCACCCCTTTGTTGTCATCTTGTCAGTCCAGAGGGACTTACGTCTTGTGTACGCAGACGTACAGTGTGTGGGGTGACCACCGGCCAGGTGGTTGTTGTTGTTGAGTTAGGGGCGACAACGATCGTGGGATCGGATGCACCCCGGCGTACCCGTGAAGGGTGAATCGCAAAGCCAGGAAAGGCGAAATGCCTAGCCAAAACGCGAAACGAGTGACGCCAAGCACTAGAAACTAATATGCCACATGGCAAAGCAACGCACAAAGGGAGAGGCAGAAGCACATAATAGAACAGGGCAAACAAACAGCCAGAAGGGCACACAGCATGTCATAGAGCAAATACACAGGAAATCAGAGCACATACTTGCCCGGGAACCGTACATTAAACGCTTCCCAGAACACCCATTTCAAAGGGTCCCGTCCATCCACCGGGGACGCCATAACATCCGGAACCGGGGCAACAAACACCTGCAAACTGGGGACCCAGATGGTAGTACTCAGGAGGCGAGAAGTCGCTACTCGCCCCCACAGAAAGGGAACTTGCCCACCATGAAAGCACTCCGGTCCGTCAGACAGCAGTAACTCGGCATTCTTCGACCAGTGATCCGGCGGCATCACAGACGCCGGCAACACGTCCCCCAGGGCCCCAACGCGCACCCGCACCACAGGGGTACCCACGGCCACGGGCACACCACCAGACGACAGCAGGGAACCTGGACGGCGCGCATCCTTCCTTAATGTCACCACCAGGCTACGCCCAGCACCAGAGTCCACACCATCCCTGGCAGCGGAAGCCACCACCCCCCACTGTGGAGAGTCCCCCGGCAGAGAAAGAACCGAAGGCACGTCTGAGACACAGGCACCAGCACCGGCAGGCACATGGACCTCCGCCACCACGAACCGCGGAGACATCGACA